CGTTGTTAGATTTCGCGTGTGTGCAGAATTTTTGGAGCACAGCTGGGGTCGCCAGCCCCCCAACTGGTTGCACACTGAAGCATCGCGCGCAGCGCCACCTGATTCCTTCATTCTTCATGTCGTGGGAAGGGTGCCACGCCCACTCCTGGGCCGGCGAACTGTCAGGATGGCCTGCGCAAAAGTTGCCCCACTTCCTGTCGAAGGTGGCCTTGGCATCATTCTGCTGAATCCACAGGCCACACTTGACACACTTGATTTGGAAGTTATGCCCCGTCTGGGCCCCTGTGACCGAGAAATGATGCCCCTTGGTGTTAATGGCACCTGCCACCAAGGCCAGCAGGGTTTGTTTTTTGTTACGCTCAGGCGGATGACTCGCAGCTGGATGATCTTCTGCAGCTGCCTTCCCAGCACCCTGTGCAAGGTGTGCCTCCGTCAGAAGTTGCCCCGCCCTTGGCTGTGGGTTGGAGCTGGTTGTCCCAGGGTCTGGGGCCTCTACGTCGTCTGGGCTCGGCCCCGCACGCGGTGCACTTCCTGGCGAACTCACCTGAACGGGCGAACCTGGGCCGGCCCTTGGCGAGCCAGCTGCCAGCTGACCGTCCATTTCAGCGGCTGGTTCCCTGCCAGTGCCGTCCTTAGCCCGAGGCCTGGGCTGTGCGCCGTTGGTCTTCTTCCGCTTGCGGATAGAAGACCGGCTCGCAGACTGACTGGTCAATTCCACCGAAGCAACCTCCTTTAGTTGCCTTGGAAAGACAACCTGAGGGCCCTGGTCCTTGTCATAGCCAATTAGGGCCTCCATGCGCCTACCCAGAAAGAGCGCCACAGACTCCGCCAACTGGTCGGCACGTAAGAGGTCCTTCTCCCGGGGCTTGGAGTATATCTCCCCCACACGCGCACCAACCAACCGGTCGACCTCATCATTGATAATCCTTCTCCAGTCCTGACCTGGACCAAGCTTGTCCCGAAATTGGTCCGCATTGAGGTGAGAAGGTACCCAATGGAGGTCCAGGCCTTCCGTGGGTGCGACCCCATAGATGTCTGAGTGGCGACCTGTAGTTTGAGTGCCCTTGCGGCTTCTTAGTACTGCGCCTTTGCAGTCACTGGTTACATCCGTTTCGGGTTCCAAATGCTCTGCCGCAAATTGGATAGCCCTTGCCTCACCCCGGTAAACGCTCTGCTCATTCTTGAGGCGTCCCGTAGCGGACCCTATACTCGAGGGAGCGCCATCTTGCCACGTGAACAAGACGATTCCCCACACCACTTCCCGGGTGCGTGGGTCGTTTGAGGGTCCACCTGTGGCGTCCGTGGCCGCAAAAACCCCGGGCGGGACGCTCCCCCCATCTTTGAGAACCCCGTGCAGTTCGATCTCCTCATCTTGCACGTGTTGGCACTCCGGCCAAGACGGGTTCCTCGGGAGGAGGCCAAAATCCCATAGGCAGGCCGGGTACGACTGGTCCTCCCTGGAGGGCCACCAATCCGGTTCCGGCTCACCGTGCTGCTGCCACCATTGACAGTCCCACAGAACGTGCCTCTTGGTGGCCGGAACCCCACACCTTTGGCACGTGGCAAGAGGCGACGCTCTGACCGCTCCTTGCCAAATGGCCTTCAGGGCCACGCCTTTGAGACCCTTTGCCTTGCTAAGGAGCCTCCGAGGAACCGTCCAATCTGGGCCATTGTGGAGGCCATTGCCCCCATCGATTGCAGCCAGATCAGAGTGCCTCTTGGCGCTGACCGACCGCTTGGCCAGGAAAAGGATCTCGTGAAAGTCCGCCGGCTCTAGGAGGTCATAGATCCTGGCACCAATGCGCCATGTCTGGACCGTTATGGCCTCCCATCCGAGCTCCCGGAGATAGCAGTAGCATGCTCCAAGCGGCCCTGAGGCTCGCTTCCAAGGGTGCTCTGCTGCCTTGAGCCACTCCACCAGGCGGCACCATCCTTGTTGGACTCTGGCGCGGTCCGCTGCCGGCCAGTGAAGCAAAAGGCGGCGGACCGCCTTGAAGTGCTGCGCCAGGATGGTGTACCAAGGATCTTCAACCTTGTCACCATGGAAATCCAGAGTAGCACTCACGCTGGCATTATTGGGCCTGCCCAAGACCTGCGCCAGCAGGCCCCTGAACCATTTGCGCCTTTTAGGCGCCACACCAACTCCTTCGTGACCATACAAGGCCGAAGATAGGATTGAGCCTTTGTAAAGCCGCACCTTGATGCCGACCTTGCCGATCTTAAGCCTTTCCAGCTGGGCTGCCCGTTGGGCCCCTTTTTGATGCCTGCCCCTGGCGGTGGTAATCCTTCTTCTGGACCCCGCGGCCGAGTCCAATCCTAGATCTTTTCCCACCCCAACCACCTTTGGGCCATCGGGCCCAACAAGGCCGGTGATGGCCTTCCCCGCAGCATGACTGGAACACACAAAGACGGTCTTTGTCGTGGAAACTTGGAGCCGCTGAGCCTCAAGGTCCTGCTTGAGCTCCTTGTAGCACTCAAAAGCCGCCGCCGCGGCTCTTTCCACCCGACTGTCGACCGTGTCTACGGAACAGTCGTCAATCCAGAGATCAACGTTGGTGGTGGTCGGCCTTCGGTATGCCTTGGCAACCGGGTCATGAAGAATAACCCGGGAGAGGGCCGGCGCCAACGGGCACCCTGCGATGAGTCCCCGGGTGGCCCGAACAGGCCTGGAGAGAGCCCCTTGTGCCTCAATGTAGCGCGATCCCTCGTAACAACTCAGCGCCCGCTCCAAGAGGAGAGCCGGGAAGTGGTGTTCCACCCCTTTCAGCAGAAGGACCTGGTGAGGCACCGTCTCATAGAAGGAAGTCAGGTCCAGCAGCAAGGTGATGGTGGCCTGGCCCTCCCTCTTACTGAGCTCAGCTCTCAATACTCGGCGGAGGGCCGTATCTAGGGAGCTGTTACCCGCCTTGGCCTGGTTCCAGGGAGACTGAGGGCCGTAATCCTTTTCCCACTCCCTAATCAGGTCCCATCTCATCTTGCAGAAAACCCGGTGCAGAACGTGGGTCAACCCTATCGGTCGCTCAGCCTCCTGGCTTTTTGCCAGCATGGCGTACTGCGTCAGGTCTATGTGCTGAGGAAAGGAGGCTTCAACTTCCCACCTTCGCAGGTGGTCCGCCAGTTCGGCGCACGCCTCCTCCGGCATAGCCTTCAACATTTCATAGCTCCACCCATCCGGCCCTGGGGCCTTGGCCGGCAGCTTGGCAAAAGCTTTGGAAAGTTTCTCCGGCGTGATTGCCTCAAGCTGCTGGGCCTGCAACCGCGCTGCTCGCTGCAACGCTGCCCTTGCCTCCGTGCCTTGGGTGGGGCTGTCTCCCCCTGGCCTCCAAAGTGCCGCCCAGTGCTTTCGCCTGGCGTGTGGCCGAATCTCCAGAGCCAGGTCCGTGTAGGGCCTGGTCACATGGGCCTCATGTTTACTGAGGTTTCGAAAAAGGGGCCGGAGCCCCCCTTGCGAGGCACCTTCCAGCCACTGTTGGTATTGCGCAGCCCCAAAGCTGTGATGCAAGTGCAAGTGGTGCTTACGCTGGGCCTCAATGATGCCACTCACCCGTGTACTGTGGGGCCCCGGCAACCCACATTGCGACACAAGTTCAGCTGCAGCATACTCCAAGGTGTAGCCTGCTAGTTCGCCCCACTGTTCTTGCACTTGTTGCAAATGGTGCTGCAGAATCTGCCTGGCCTTCATGCTGAGTCCTTGTTTGACCCCCTTTTTGTGTAAGACTGCCAGGCGCCCCCAATACTTGGCGGGTCCTCCTGTCCACACATAGCCAGTGGGCTTTGGTGGCATGATGGGCCCGACCTTGGCCGTGACTTCTAGGCCCCGGCCTCCCTTGCAATTGGGGTGAAGGCTGGCCTCCACCCTGACCGTGAAATCCGCGAAAGAAGTGGTGACCTCCTTCGTGCACTGCGGCTCCAACAACAAGGCGGGATCCCGGTGCCCTTGGGTCGTCTCAAAGGGCATGGGGTGGGGATCCACCTGCCGCTGGAAATACGTCGCCTGAAGTACATGGGCGCGGAAATCACCAACCTGCAGGGCCACTTTGAGAGCACAATGCGGCCTGAACGGCACCTCCCAGTCCTCTCGGACAGAAACGCTGTCTTGCAGGGCTCTGCTAACCCAGCCGTAATCAAGCTCTCCACCCTGCAACGTGGTTGCATTACCAGTGCAGACCACTGCTCCCTGGACTTCCGTGAGGATTGAGGTGCTGTCCATTTCCTCCACGGGGATGTTGAAATCACCCAGCACCAACCAAGGAACCGTAAGGCCCTTGAGGAACGCCATCAAATCCCCCAGTAGGGTCGGATTGTGGCCGCCATGAAGCCCCATACCCGTTTCCAAGTAAACAGTGACAAGGACCACATCCCTGCCGCCGGCTCTGCCGGTGACTGCCAGGTAGCCTTTGCCTTCAAAGCCATAGGACCGCATAAGCCAGAAGTTCCGATCCTTGCGAGTGGCCAGCAAAAGGCCCCCCATGTTGTGACCCCCCTTGGTGGGATGGGCTGGGAGGCTCCACGCCGAGTACCCTGCCTTGTACGCTACTGTCATCATGTCTCCTTGTTGTTTCTCCGTAACATGAGTTTCCTGCAGCATGATAACATCAGGCTGGTCCTTAACCATCCAGGTGCTGACCTCTTTCCTCCAGCTGGTGACATTAGCCACTAGGATCTGGAGGTCACTGTCCGGTTGCACCCTGTCCGGCTGCTGCGCCGCGTCCTCAATCGCGGCCAGACACGCCTCGGGATCACTGCGGCGGACAGACAGTTGCTCGATTGCCTGCTCCGCCGACCACTCCAGCAAGGAGTTAGGTGGGGCCCGTATTTTCTCCACCACCTCAACAAAACTGGTTTCATGACAAGCCATTCCATCCACCCTCGCCTGCTCCAGAAGCGAGACAAACTCCCAAACAGGCTCTTCCTGTAGCGCCTCGAATCTGTTATGCAGGGTGATCGGCTGGGATGACTTCTTACCAAAACTGCAGGACTTATGTCCCGAGACTACCTCCCGCCATTCCGGCGAGGCCTCATCTTGAAAAACTCCTCTGGAACAAAAGTTGGTGGCGGCAAACTGTCGCAGCTCCTTGTTCTCACCACACTGAGAAAATGGAGGCGTCTCCTGTCTTGCCCACACCCTAAAAGGAACAAAACTATTATAAGCAGCCGTGCACGGCCTAAGGTCGGGCTCCGCACGGGGCCAGTAGCCCAATACTATGCCCCATCTGGATCCCGCCCGGCCTGCACCCTAGGCCTTGGTCTTGGGCGAACGGCTGCGGTTGGGTGCGTCTGCCCGCCCCTTCTCTGACTCGCGGTCCGGTGTACGCATCTCTTGCTCCCGCTCCTGAATCCGCTTGCGCTTGATCTCCAGCTGCTTCCTGATGGATTCCTGGCCCCTTTCAAGCTCCTCAACCTCCATGAAAGAGGCTCTGGCCGAGAGCGCATCCCCGAAAGCTTCCGAATCATAGCTGGGGCTCCACGGGTTGCTCGCCACAGCGGTCTGCTGATCCGGCGTGAGCGGAATGCCAAGGTCCAGCAGATGCTGGCAGAGGGAAGAACCCTGGGACTCCCCAGCCGCGTTCACCAACCCAGGCGGGCACCCGACTTTGAGCAAAGTCTGCTCCGCCAAGTGCTGCCTGTGCTTCTGCCTGTAGGCGTCCTGAGCCTCCTTGAGCTTCTGGCCCTGGGAAGGGTTCAATGTCACCCCCATTTCCTCCAGGACCTTAGCACAATCGAACTCTTCCACTTCCAACGTTGTGGGCATCTCCACCACCTTGGTCTTAAAGGCTTTTGCCATCACCTCCATTTTGGCTTCAGCCTCCTTGAGGTTCTGCAGCAGGTCCTTCATTTCACCATAAAGGCCCGTGAGGACCGCCTTGACCTCATCGATGCGCGCCTGTAGCTTGATCTTCTTGTGGCCCAAGCTTCGTAGGCGGCCTGCGGCCCCTTTCAGGTCATTGGTGGTTTTGATCTCCACCTCTGTTGCGGTGGGCTGGGGTCCCTTCACCCTGGCCTGAACCATGGTGCGGATCTCCTCCGGCAGATCATCCTCATGCGCCGCCAACAGGTCCAAGAGCGCGTTCTCTTCACTGGGCTCCTCCGTGGCTGGCGGCTTGAAGCCACCCTTCACCATTTTTTCTTGGGCCGCTTCTGGCAGCAGCGTCCACACACCCTCCAAGGCCTTCAAGACCTTTGGGACCTTGGGCGGTTTCGGCGGCGTCTGGCTCTGGTTGGGTTGTCCCCCTTTACGAGGCGGGGTCACCGGCGGGTCCCCCCTGTTTTGGGCGGGCTGTCGCGGCTGTCTGACCAAACCCTTCAGCCAAAACTTGCCACACTTGCTGCACTTGGGCTGGCTGGCAATGCGATTGTCATAGATCCACTGCCCGCACCCACACACTGTGTAGCTGCCTTTTCCTTTGGCCTTCGTCATGTCGGGTGAGCAAAGCTCCCCTTAAGGCTGCAGCACACTCCCCCGAGGGCACCGCCCTGTCCGGTGGGTTGATGGCACGCAGGAAACGCAAAGCCTGGGGTTCACCTGTTTGAGGACTGGTGGAACACGGCTAGTGCCCAGGACTGGTTGCTGATTTCTCTCCCGCGCCGCAAGCCCACCTTGAGCCA